GGAGTTTATTACATTTAAGGCCAAATGTTATTACATTTAGGAGTTTATTACATTTAAGGTCAGTTATTACATTTAGGTCTTCAACAATATTCACCTCCATATCTTCATTTTTTTCAATCATCGATGTTTGCCGATGTACAAAATTATTTTTTAAATTAAAGTAGACCTCAAAAGTAGTCTACAGAATGAAAAACATTTTAATTGCAAAACGGACGGTTTTTCTCGTATATAACAGGTCAGACATTGAAAGAGGTTACCTCGCGTGCTTGTAGTCTAACTAACAATAGCACCCTACGAAGTCAGGAACCCATCACTAGTAGCCTCTTCTAGGCATTCGGTGCGTACAGAACGCCTGGAAGAGGCTACATCACCAGGAGCGTGCAACTCCCATTCTAAGCCTATAGCACCATAGTCACGGCATTTTTACAGACCGGTCTATTTTTAGGCTTATTTCCCCGCGAAATGGGTCAGTTCTGGTCTACATGAGCGCGCATCGGTAAGGAAAAAAATGGCGGCCTTATTTTGATTTTATTTTTTTATCTTCCGGTGAAATGATGACGTCAGTTGAAAATTAAGTCCATGCTTGTAATTGATCGCTGAGGTTCCTGTGGGGGTCTGAATTCGCGTTAAATTCAAACTATAAAGAATAGAGCGGTCTGTGAAAAGCCGTGACAAGAATATGGGGTGGTTGCATACTACAAGTCTGCTCCTGCGGATGGGCGCCTGCAGCCGACGAAGTGCAGATCCGGTCAACTACTCTCGCCTTGCGGACAGCCCGCTCTTTCGGTCGGCTAAGAGATCGGTATGGAAGCAACTCCGGCCATAACGGTCTCCCGTTATTACAGAATAGCGGACAATTCATGTAGTTCGAAACTAATAGTTTAATTGTTTTTCTCTCGTTACAACGGACTTTTCAGATCTCTGAACTGAACTTGGACGTATTACTTGAAATAATTATTTTGCCGTCTTGGAATGTTCACCACTTCGAACACTATTTCAGCGTTCATAATTTACAGGGTTATGTGTCAAAGTAACTCTTGTACTAAAAAAAAAAAAAAAAAAAAAACTGAATATCATTAAACAGGATGGCAATACACGTTACATGTGACAATTCACAAAGTAAAATTGGGTCATTTCCATCACACCCGGCTGCTTGCCGACTCACTCTTTCTCTACTACGGACATCAAACTTTTACTGTTGTTTCTCAGCTCTGGCTGGGGCAGCGTCCGCACTCCACCGGAGAAATTTGAAAGCGCAGCTTTATTTCTACCGTTAGGCCACAGTAATCCGTCACACTGATCCGGCAAGAAAGCGAAGATTTTCGAAAACGCTCTTCAAGTCGGAGGAATTTGAAAACGCCGGCTAAATTCGTTTTCGTGTCGGGACGAGAAACATTTTGAAAACGAAGCTTTTGGAAAACGATAACGTCACTGTAATCATGTACTTTTGATGCCAGAGTCTTCCTCAAACACAAATTCAAAATGACTGGTGCTTTCCCGGTGGGGGACTCCCATACAAAAAGTACGGGGGTACTCGTGGGAAATTTTGAAAAGAACCCCTAAAGAACCCCTTAAAGCCTTAAGAGATACGATAAGCCCCCTCGTTAATTTTATGTGGGATCGAGTCCTCTCGGGTCGCGTAATTTGATGCGTTTTCAGAATGAAGCCTCCGTTTTCAAATTCCTCCGGCGTAGTATGGACGGCTTTGCAATCTGTGTGAACAAGCTCCCGGCAAGGGCGAAAAAAATTAAAAGAAGTTAGGCAAGCGCGGTGAGATGATTTGATGCCCAGATCGCTCTTGGCTTGCTTCGCTTGAGGCTGACTGGTTTAGTCGTTCCCAGTAATTATTATTGATAAATCTATAAAGGAGGTTTTTCTCGTCATCGGATGTTTCCGTAGTGTAGTGGTTATCACGTCCGCTTTACACGCGGAAGGTCGCCGGTTCGAGCCCGGCCGGGAACATTTTTTTTTTCTTTTTCTTTTTTTTTTTTTAAAATCTAAAATTCCTTCCTTTGAGAAATCTTCAGTTTTTTTTTCTTTTTACACAGGGTTCAATCTCTAAGCGGGAAAATCGCGAACAAGTAGGGAAAAGAGGCTTCCTGTCAGTGCAGCAGTCAGTGCAAGACGAGATTCCCGCGAAATTGAAAACTATCTCTGTCACGTCTTTCACGTGTTGATTCATGTGATCACAGCACCAGATATTCTTTGCTTTGATGTAAAGGATCAAAGTTCATAGAGGACTGGTATATCATGCATGGCGCTCGCGCTTCGAACCCACCTAGTCCCCGAACAACCGAGTAATATTATAAGGCAGCCCCTGGAAAAAGCAATATTTTTCTGAACTTGGAGGCTCCTTGGCATATGAAAGTCTTACAATACTTGACGCTTCCAAAATAACACATCTCTTTGCCCAAAAGGGCCTCCGAACTGTAAAACAGTGTTTTACCGGGGGTTTTAGCGCGAGTTTGTCGATGTGTGTGCAAGATGAGTTCTCGCTGAAAAATAGAAAAGCAAGACAAAACAGGATATTGTTTTGCAGTCTAGGGCACTGCTCGCGTAGCCTGCGTGCACCTCACACCTGTCCTTATTCTTTCGCTGCACTCGGAACATGAAAGGGAAGCAAAGTAACTGGGTGCAATCTGCCTGCCTCCGCGAGGAGCTTCAAAGAACAGTTCCCCCCCTCGAGCGACCTTTGAACTCATGTTTGCCGGCTAACAGACGAAAGGGACGAAAGGGGCGCTGGGATTGGAAATGGTTCAACATCACCGAAATTTTACCGATTCTTTCCGAAAATTCACGAGTGCTGCCTTCACAGCCTTTTCGTTGAATATTGGCGCACATAAACAAGGTTGATATCAGTTTGTGAATCGCTTTAGCCCGTTGGATATTCCGGCTTCTTTTCGTTCATCGACTGTGTGGAGTGTTCTGTGATGAAATGGTTTTCGTCTGAGACGAACTCTCTCTGACTGGTGGCCCTTCTAAGTTCTTTTGCTGGGTGATCGGGCCATCGACCGCCATTTTGGCAATCGATTACACTTGAATTCGTAGACGTGCCTGTGTTTACAAGTGTTTGGTTAAGATATTACGAGTTCACAAGCACATTAACTGGAGAATGGGCAGAGACCGCGATTTGCGATGAGTAATACGGCAACTTATATAAAAGAGACGACTTTGGCCGACGCGGCATGAGCGAAATAATTGGAGAGAAAGGGTGAGTGTACCATTCATAGCTTAAACATTTTGTCTTGATTACCGTGCCTGTCGCCAATGACCTCCAACCTTTGCTTTCTAAACATCGGGCAGCCGAGGATTAATTTCATTTGATGCAACAAATGACGTGACTTTCTCCAGCTATGAAACTTTTCGTTTACAAACTTCCTTGCTCCCTCAACCTTGACCTATGTCTAGGCAAGATTCCCTCATGAATTTTGTGGGGGATTATTCGATTTGTTATGTGAACATTCAATGCAGCGCAAGATACATGCAGTTTAATATTATTACTAGACAACTGGAGGTTATCTATCAACATTTACTATGCAGTTATTGGGTATTGTTTTGACAATTTTGAAATCATGTTTAGACTCATATTTTTAAAGTTAATTTTTCTCCAAAACAAGCCTTGCATTTGAACATGAGCTCAGGTCTAGAGAGGTTTTGTTTTTACCTAATCATGCATGCAACTTATTTCAGTATCCTGCACAGATGAAAGGCATTTACAAATGTAATATAGTTACAAAATAATGCTTAATTAAGTAAGCAGACAACACAATTTAACAGTAAATTTGTGGTCTAAACGCAATGTACAGAAATTTATGATTTGCATCTGTGAGCCAAGTGCAAACTATTCTGGGACCTGAGAGCGGATAGCTTGATAACAAGGTCTAGAGGACACAAACAACAGAAATGAATAAACATGTCATTCAATTTCCTTAGTTTCTGTACTCTAGACAACAATGTGATGTTTAATTTTAATGTATCAAAAACAATCTATAGTCTGAACGGCAAGTGCTCTCAAAGAGAAGGCCATGCCAGGTCAACAAGCTGATATCCTGTAGTTGCCCTTATCAAGGGTATCAATGTTCAAAGAAAAGCATTCACAGCAGTCAAGAAAAAAATGGTGGAAAAACTGCGACAGTTAAATTGAAATAACTTTAATGGGTAATTCCAGAAAAATTCCATATCCATGTGTACCACAGGCAGTATCTTTGAATTCCGAAGAAATTGGGGTGGGGGGAAGGAGTGCAAATTTATGCAGAAGGAGTGCAAATTTATGTGAATTACCATTTAATATTAAAGGTGTGTAGAAGTTAGAGAGGACTTTTGAAATAATGGCTCTGAGGGGTTTTGAATGATTACAGAATTTCAAAGTCATAGTGATGGGGGTAGAACAAGGTGGAATTCCGAGGGTGAGGGAAGGTTGAGCATTTTGGAATTTCTTAGATGGCATTGGAGGAGGTGTTAAGATCTAGATCCCGCCTGTGGTATGGATATTTTCTGGAATCACCCGCTGAGCAAATAAGTCACTGTATATACGGTAGGAGGACATGTAGCACCAAGTAGAATTTTGTTTCTTTGTTTCTCAGGTTGTAAATAAATTCATGTATAATATACATGTGCACTTGTGCCTGGATAAGAGGCTAATTAAGCTGAGTTGCACAGTTATGTGCCCATCTGGATTTCAATTAATCTCTTACATGAGGGTGGTAAAGGGTATTTTTGTTATTTGTAAATGGCCTAGTTTGTTTCTCCTGAAATATGAAATGGCTTCCTTTTTTTCTCGTGAGTCATGATTTCATTAGAAGCCATGAACCGTGATATTCCGAAATAATTCTCCGTGAAATGAAAGAGAAGTATTTTTTTTGTCGTGAACCGTGATTCTGGTCGTGTCTTCTATTAGTTTTGACAGTAATTAACAATATTGTGTGACCGTGACAGGACAATCATCCTTCTTCATGTTCTTGTTCAGATTGCTTTTTGCTGCATGTAGAACAAGAAGTGGACAGATGATAAAGACATTTAACAATTCTGTGCTTGGGCATAACTTTCAAATATCATAAGTTGGGTACGTTTGTGTCAAAAACTACATTTTTTTTTTTTCCGGGAAATGTAAAATACCGATTTTATTTCCTGTGAATTGTGAAAGGACCAATTTATTTTCTGTGAAAGGTGATCTTGATCCCCCCTTTACCACTCTCTTACATGTACATGTAGATGGTTGTAGGCTCCCTTTGAAGTCCTATGTGCCATTCTAAAGTAAATTACTGCCTATTTATTAGTGTATGATGGGCTTTATGTTTAGCACATGACACGTGATGGGTTAAGTGATGCAGGTTTTAGTGCTTGGCAAAACAATGCACATGTTCTGTAGTGTTCTATTCTTGAAAAAGACTGTTTACTCTTACTGTGCCTATTTCTATTTTCCACCTACTAATTACATCAGATGTGAATGTGATGGTAATGACATTGGTAATTGCCATCAGTAGTCTAAGGTAGTACCCTAGTGACACAAGTGAATTAATGATTGAATATTTGATTGATTAATTGATTGATTGATTGATTAGTTGATTGGTCAATCAACCAGTTAATCACACACCCATTTATCTGAATTGCATATGTTACCATTAGGTTCAGGGCAGTCGTTAAGTTTTGAGCCACCAATTGCCTTGGTCATCTGTGGGTGAATTGTATTAACAACAGGCAAGTTCACCTGTAGCATCAAGGGCTCATCAATACGGTCCCTAATGACAGCCTTGAGGCCATACATGTATGTAAGTACATAGGGCATCCCCCAAACTTACAACTGCCATTGGCTACCAGTTATCTGACATGCGCTGACATCCTTGGTTATTTTCTCATCTAGGAATGACGGCAAAGATGTCCAACTGAATTCAGGGGAAGAGAATGGACAGGCAGATAATTCAAAGAAATACAAGTGAGTTATCACATGCCAATTAACAAAATTGGTACATACATGTATTTAATGACTGAATGTTTGCCATGGCTATGCAGGAAAAGGGTTTGTTTGAGATCAAGTATGGAAGAGTCCATGCATGCATGTACACCATACACCACATGTGTACAAGAGCCAAATATTTCCTCGTATATATAGTGCAACATAACTGGAATAAATTATAAATGAGTTGAATCACTGCTATGCAGTTGTTAAAGGGACACAGTCAGCTTAATGGGACCACGCTGACCTGGACACTAGTTTCCTCTGATTGAAAAAAGTTCACCTCTACCTGAAATCAGTGCAGCTAGAAATCCGCTTCAATCTTCACAGTGTTTTGCTTGATTTTCAATCTTTTTCAATCTTTTTCTTTTTGAGTGTGCTTTTGATCAACCTATGATATTATTTTTATCATATTTGGTTAAAAACAGTATGGATTGCACCTCTGTGATATGCAAATTAGCTATGAAATAGTATCTTAATATGCACATGTGCACCAGCTGACTGTGTCCCTTTAATGTCTGCTAAACAGTCAAACAATTTATTAACTTAGTACTTACACTGAGCAATCCATTGTCGACTGATTTTGGAGTAGATGTAGCAGTATGGGGAGCCGGCTGAGAAGTCTTAATTGACTGTATTTCCACCTTAATTCCCAGTCAAATTACTGTTTGTGCAAGTTCAGGAGACTACAGGTGTAGGCCCTGCAACTTGTCCCATGAACAGATCATTTGAGGGGTTTTAAGGGCCCACTGATCTTTCTGAGCCGTTGCTAAGGAAAATTTATTCTCCTATAACCTTGTCATTTTTAGCTAGTTCGGTGTTATTTCATGTGTTTTAACTTTTTTATGATCAGTAAAACTGGTGATGATGTCATCGGGCCATGCCCATGGTCATGTGATTCATTCTGAAAAAATGTAAAGGCTCCCAAGCACATTAATTTTAATCTTATTATGCTATGCATAGATTTTGTTTTATTTCTAAAAGGTCAGATTTTGAGAAAATTTCAAAATATTGAAAAATTCGTAATTCTCTGAAAAAAGCATGATTTTACCAAAGGAATGTATAGCTATGTTTCCAACATTGAAAAGCCACATTTCTTTTAGCATTTAAAGAAACTGGAAGTGACCCTGATATATATCTATCTATGTGTGCACAGTTCAGACTACCAGCGGCACTTCGATAAGATCAAACAAAGCACACGAAAGCCACACAGAGATGTCTGTTTTTCTCTTATTTTGTTTTTGCGTGTACTTTTTTGCTTTGCATTAATTTCGTAAAACACAAAGAAAAAACATCTAAAATGTTATTGAATTTACAAGTTGTTGAATGGTTTAAATTTTCTGCGCTCAGGCTGACGAAAGTAACTGGAAATGAAATTTCACCTCCTTAGCAATATGTGTGAGCGTGCACATAAATCGGTTAATGAACCAGTCACAGGGACCTGTACCTTCAATTGAAACCAGTTTGAATTTGTCGGACAAATCACTAGGGGGAAAATTTAGTTCATGTTACGGTCAATCAACACCTGTCAAAACAAGGTTTCTGCTGACCAGTATCATGTGACCATATTGTGGGCTCAAGTTTAGAACACATTAAGGTCACTTGCTTTTTTTGAAGATGACTGCTGACCAAGTGCTGGCTTTCGATTGGATTGTGGGCTCATGTCAAGTTAACTTGTTGTAGTCAGGGCTAGGTTGTTGGGAAGCTGGTTAATACCAGTTAACCTGAGTATACAAATTCTCATATACAGATGTTTTTCACTGCTTTTGTTTCATGTACAGTAGTTTGAGATTATTCAAACTCTGAACAGAATGCCAAACAGTATCCAGAAAACCACCACACAGTAACAAAACTCAAATCAAAATTCTCGTTTGTCCTGGGTTAGTTTAATTGGGCTTTGAACAACCCAGCCCAGGAGCTCCACTTTTACGCTGGCTAAATCTATATATTATCTCATTCCAAACTATCCGCATTTTGAACATACAATGGAAGACTCAAAGAGATGGACTACTGACTATTTGATTAATAGTCATTGAGAGATACTGTATGAATGCTTTTATCTTATCTATGATTACTTTCAGTTCGTGAATGTTAACATCCTCAAGAAACTGCAATGTGTTTTTGTTTGTCTCACAGACCCTCCAGAAACCTGAGCGAGAAAAAGAGGCGCGACAAACTGAACGTTTACATCAGTGAACTCGCCGCCATGGTTCCTTTGTGTGCAAGCTCGCAGCGTAAACTGGACAAGACCACTGTGTTGAAAATGACAGTTGGTTACATGAAAGTCCATAATGGTAAGCAAAATTATAATTTTGAATAAAATTAATATATACATGACTGTTCAAACCTTGCTTGCTCATTGCATAGTTTGCACCAGGTGTACCCATGTACAGTATGCATTCATACATTCATACCTGTTTCCATTACCCCTGTCTCTCAGTGCACATAATCATATTAATAATACTTTTCTTTTATACAGATCTAACCATGTCTGTCCTTGGTAGTGAATCTGGGTTAATGTCTTCATTTCTGTCTAGTGAAGAAATCGGTGAACTTCTAGATAAGGTGCAAAATATGTTAGTGTTTACCTTTTACAAGTATGTCGACCCTGAATACTTCCCTCCTTTACCCTACTCTTTTCAGAACATATGATTGATAAACTTTACAGATACTGTGGCTATGCATGTATGTAATATAACGGATGGGGTCAACTGGTGAAAACTGTCAAAAAATGCTTATTTCACAAGTAATTAATAATGAATATATTTTTTGATCTACAATTTCTCAGGCCCTTAATGGCTTTTTACTGGTTTTATCGACCCATGGAGACTTTGTGTTTGTGTCAAAGAGCATCGAAGATCTTCTTGGCTTTAAAAAGGTAAGTGACTTTTCCATGGCTTGACATAAGTGTCAGTGGATTTTAAAGATACTTGTAGGATGTATTTTACATTAAGTGGTGTGTGATGCATTTGACTGCTGTGGAGGCTCAATCTGTATATTTTTCCTTGTGACTGTGTTGTCCTTTAGGAAGACCTGATTGGTAAGAGTATCTTTGAGGTAGTCCATCCAGATGACAAAGATGCAGTGACCAGGGAGGTTCTTCGTCAAGACAGGGAGCTTTCCAGAGGATACAACTCTTATTCTGGACAGCTGGACATAATGGGTATCTTTGTTTTCCATCAGAGACTACTTACTTTCTTCTTGAGAAGGGATCTTTTGACATCATGGTAATATTGCAGAACCAAAGCAAAATAATCATTTTTTGTTTCTTAAGGAAATGGGACTATTGTGGAGAGTGGCCCATCCCGACGTACTTTTAACTTTCGCATGTTAGTGCGAGGTAAAGATGGTGAACCGGCTGGGGATGAAGATGTTCACTGTGTTGGCTACATTGACCAGTGGACGAGAAAAGAAACTGAACACCAAAAGCAGAGTCAAACCCAAGGTCAGAGATGTAAATCACTTTACTGATTATTAAAATATTAATGGACTCTATATCCCTAATCAAATTCCAATCATAACTCCAGCCATGATGCTGAATGGGCCACCTGGCTAAATTAAGTTTTACTTACATGTAGTACTTACTCCTACTCCTGAGAAGTCCCCTCCCCTCCCCTCCCCTCCACCATCACCACTATGCTAACCATACGTTCCCCTAAAAAAATAAGTGTCCCAAATCTTAGATGCAAAATATTTCTAGTAAATATGCACTGTCTCAGAAATAAGCCTATCACACAATGGGCTTATATTCAGTGCACTGGACACTGTGGGTAAAGAAAAAAAAATTGCACCCTCTGCAGTTGCATCGTTTTGCAGTTCATGTCTTAATTATAATACACCTCTATTTTACCCCCCTAGCCTTTTGAACAAAATGTAAGCCTAGGAATCTCTTACATGTAGTTCATTGATATGTTCTTCTTTGGTTTCTGTGTCAACATTGTATTTGTAATGATATACTGTATTATTGTAAAGAGGTGTGAAGGATGAATTACATGTATATATCTTTACATCCAAATTTTCCCCACAGAATTTCCTATTTGATAAATTCATTGAGGTCTGGATATTTTTTAAAACTGCACAGTGAAAGTCAACAAAAACAAGACATTGCACTTGGTCATTACCTTGCTCTGCTCCTTTTATTATTATTTTTGTATTTTGTCTTATCAATACAGTGTTTATTCCAGCAGGGGTGCTTGCAACAAATGAAAAGAGTACTGCACTCACCCCCATTGGAGGCGCAGTCAGTCCATTCTTCCTGGTGGGCGTGGGCCTAGTGTCTCGACCTAGCTTCACGAGAGAGGTGGAATGTGAATGTGATGAAGACGAATTTACATCACGGCACAGTCTTGATGGAAAATTTCTTTTTGTCGATCCACGGTAAGTATGAAAGGAAGAAGAACATGTTATGGGTTTGAAGCAATGTAGAGCAGTACAGGGCTGCCTTCGAGGGCCATAACCCATAACACCTGTTTTATCGCTTTATCGCTGAGTATGCTTGATTTGCCCTTGATGTTACAGGTGAAATTGCCTGTTGTTGATATAATTCACTCACAAAGTAACAAGTTTGCTATGGTGTGGAGAACAAGGCTACAAGTGAATCAAAACTTAATGACAGCCCTGCAATAAAAACAACTTCAATCTTTACTTGTACTCTCTCTTGCCTTATAACTAATCACAGAAAATATAGATAAGAGATAACAATAATAATAAGAAGGGAAATTCTTGCAGTATTATAAGATAATATGGGTGATATTTGTTTCATCTTGTGCTTATGTTGTAGATCGATCTTGATCACTGGATACCTGCCATTTGAGGTGCTCGGTACTTCAGTCTATGACTACATTCATCAGGATGACCTAACTGTTTATGCCAAGGCTCATGAGTCACGTGAGTTTATTGTCAATTGTCACATTGCTTACCTTGTTTTGATACTTTTTGTTAATTCCTGTTCACAAGTTAGCAACAAATGCCTTCTTCCTTTGCTAGGTTTCTACCAGTAGTGCATTCCTTTTCAATAACTAATTGCCCACTTACCTATATGTTTGTAATTTACAAATTATACAGTGAACAGAGCTTCTTCCACAGTATTTGTTTGTACTGTCCCATTCTATGTAGGGTCCAACATAAACGTGTATACAAAACCACAGTATAGGATCTCTCATGATAATATTATGGTCAACATTGGGCCCTCTCATGTAAGGAGCTTCAGTATTGGACACTCTTAAGTAGCGACCCTTAGTATTCTTAGGGTCCCTACTTGAAGGGATCCAGTAAACTTAAGGCTTAAAAGCCCTCTTATTTAAGGACCCTCAGTACTGGGCTCTCTCATGTAGGGATCCTCAATAATAGGTAAGGACATTCAGTACTAGGCCCTCCCTTCAACACTGGGTGCTCTCATGCAAGGAACTTCATTCCTCAGCATTGGGCTCTCCCAACTGAGACCCTCAGTGTTGAGCCCTCATTAGATATGAGACAGAGTTTAAAAAAATTTTCTATGATTATTATGTTGTCGAAACAGTTTAAGTTTTGAAAGTTGTTGAAGGCAACCGTTGGCTCTTGATAACAGGCTTGTCTGACTCTGTTGTGGAAAGCTCACTTTATCAAGTTCTGACTGGTTGATAAGATGTTTTCCATGCAGATATTTTGTGAACTTTTTCTTGTCCAAACAAGAGAAGAAAAATAACAGTTACTGTAAATAACAATTAAAGGAGCCAAGTGTATCTCATGGTTTGTGCACCTTGAAAAGTTAAGCCTAATTTTTATAATCCGTGTTAATCTTCTCCATCTTTAACCATCCTTGTTCCTTTAACGTCGAATATTATCTCTTTGGTGCTTTTGTATCTTAGTAAACTACGATTTTAAGGTTTCCTTCAATTTAAAGGTGATTTTGTATGCGGCCAAAATAATTCAAAATGCTGTGACTGAGCTCCTTTAAGTACTCTTCCATTAGTGGATCTTATGCATGTTAGCTTGTGTCATTTAAGTGAATAATATCATTATTATTCCCCCTTTTAGTCATGGAATACGGAGAAGGTAAAACTGGTTGTTACAGAATTCTGATCAAGGGCTATCAGTGGATCTGGGCGACAACACGGAGTTATATCTCATTCAATCACTGGAACTCCAAGCCTGAAATCTACTGCAGCACCACTAAAGTCATCAGGTTGGTTTTTGAGGAATCTTTTTCTTTGCTTTGCATCCTTGATCTAACAACCATCCTTAATTTCCCTTTAGCCCATTGCCAAGTTGCCTTTTGCCTTTTCGTCAAAACGAGTCTTCGTGCGAAACAATTCATGTGAAAATTTGTTCTGTCACCAGAAGCCATTTTCATACGAAAGTTTTTGCACGAGGGCTGGTTTTGAAACAGTGGCACAAGGTAACTCGGAAATGGCCTATTGAGCTCCCCTATACCCTGGCTCCAAAGGTTTCCACTTTTGTTTCTCAAAAACGGGAGTTACCGAGAGTTCAAACCTTTCACTCTCATTACCCGCCATTTCTCATACACACTCGTCGATTCTCGTCAACTCTTGTCTACTACATTCACATTTGATTCTTGCAGAGTCACTCAGTGACATGAGTGCAAGATTAAATAAACAAAATTTATATACAAAAATAAATAGGGAAAGCTGCAATAAAATGGAAAAAAAAATTACAAAAATTAAAGTGGTCAGAGATGGTGGCCTTAAATGACATTTGAACCAGTGCATTTTATTTTGCGATATTGGACAAGAGCTTTCGTTCGCGCTCTGTGGACAATCTTGTACATCATAATTCACGTTTGGCGCGTCTGATTTCTATTGGTTAAAAACCTTCTATAGGACCTTCCGGTGTCAATAAAAGCCGTACATGCGCATTATCGTAACAGACCGTTTAACCAATAATCCTTTTCTGGAAAGCCTTACGCGACAATACTTAAGGTTTCATGGCTGGCACTGGGAGTTGTTTCTCGTTGTTTGATCGAAGTTCACGCTGTTGACCACAAATGACATATTTTGTTTTTTTCCCCTCCTATCAGTCTGAAACACGTTGATCTTCGATCAACCATTGGTAAACAAATGCAACCCATAATTTCTTTGGGGATTGTGGAGTACGCTTTAAGGCTTTGGTATCGCGAAGGCCCGCGAGGGATGAACATGGATTAATACTGACTTTCGAAGTATTTAACTGACTTATTTCATGATATTATTCGTGAGGGATTATTTGTATAAAGCCCGCGAACCAGAGGGTAAAGCTGGTCATTGGTATGTTTGTCAAGCCCGAGTGTAAACAATGTAGGCTTTGTTTTATTTTGTATTGCTCTTGCGTTTCCTTTGTGTAAGGTTATGAGAAAACAAGATCGTTCGTTTTTGCCGTTTTATTGTGACTTGGCAAACTTATTTGAATAACGCAAGGTTGTTTTGATCACTTGCTTTGCTTTGCTTTGTGTGACGTTCGAAAAGAGTGGGTTGATGTTTTTTGTACAGTACACTGTTCCAGCTGCAGACAAAACCCTTCCAAGGGAAAACGGTAAGAACATTTTATGAAGCGGTAACAAGGTCCGGCGCCATAGTGAAACGTGCTCAGCGGAACCAAATTCCAGATAAGTTGTTATAAAACGGTTAAACGTACAGGTATTCCACGATTTCAAGAGTGTGAAGCGCGTTGTCGAATCCAGACTAGAGTAAATGTTGAGCAAGGATAAAATTAAGAATGCCTAACTGCAGCGGAGTTAAAATTTTATGTTGACTCGTTTTTACCCTTAATCTGAGATTTTTTAAAATGACTTTAGGAACAGAAGGCTATGTTATTTGAAAAGGGCTTCAAATTTTTGGGAAAGGAAACATTAAATACGCACGTTTGGTTGTGTTACTTTAGTAGCGATGGAGCATTGAAATGCGTCAAGATTTAGGAGAAATATTGTCGTGACTATTGGTGAAAAATATCTTACAGAGAACAATGGGTTGGAGCGTGTGAAATAATGCTTTGTTCGTTTTCATTTGCAAGACAATGTCTAGGTTTCCAGATGCGTGATGTTTTGATCGGGAATACTGAGGTGAAAGGGGTCAAGAGAATTGCACTTTCACCGCTGCGTTGTCTGCCATTTTCTTTGCTATCAAAGTTGCCTTTAGGCGCTACAGATGTTGCCTTTACGTAAGCGTTATGCTGTGTTTTTGCTTCTTAAATTTACATCGTGATGCTCAAAGGCTTATTTTGCTCATTTGCTTCATAATAATCCGACAGCTTCCGATGGAATTCAAAATCGTACACGGGGAATAGAGACGGAGATTTCAATGGAGGTTAGAATACTGCACTGATTTTGGTGTTGATATATTTTGGGCAATGAAAAAATATATATATATATATTTTTTTTTTTTTTCATAAAAATAAGGTTTTGCTCAGTGAAGGAGGCTGCTGTCAATTGGAATCAAGCATTCGAAACCACTGAACGCTTGTCGCAAATATGCAAAATTGTTGTTGCCACAGAAGAGAACAATGGTTACGAACAAAAGGTTTTGTAAACAGGTTTTGTCCTTGCCAAGGGAAGGACGGCGGGCCTTTTAGAGTTCTGCACGATTTGACAAAACCTATTTGTTCCAGTCCAAGTAAGATCGCTATTTTCTTTCGATTATTTTCATTAGTGAAAAGCCGTGTAGCCTTGTGCATGTACGAGGTGGACCAGTCATAGAATACGGTAATAAAATCATATGAAGACTCCGGTGCGCAAGTTGATCGCCTGAAGGGCAAATGTTATTGTTGTTTGCGTCAAAAAGCTTACGTCGCTATTGTGGTCGCAACAGCTGGCGCATTGGTCAACCCACAGGCGTTTCTTTTTTTGCTCCGAGTTATTTTTCTTCGGGTGCGCGAGAGCAGCCGCGAGGCGGTTGCAAAAAAAAAAT